GGAGGGGGAAGGGGAGGGGGATGGGGAGGGCATTTTGGAAGTGGTAGATGATGGAGGTAGAGGGTTTTGTGCGGGAATAGCATTGTAGCTGCTGGAGGGGTGTATTTATTGTTTTGGTGGTGTAGAGTGATGGTGTCATGGGGAGTGCGATCCATGGTTGGATGGGTAGGGTTCGGTGGACGGCGGATAGGTTGTTAACAAGGTAGCTGGATTGCTTGGATGATGTAAATAAAGGAAACGTATAGAGCAGGGAGGGTTTGAGTTTGGGGGTGGATTGATGAGGTGAGATGCTTTGGCATTCTTTGTTGTGCTGTGTTGCTTAGTGGTTGGTATGGGGTTGTGCTATGTGAGGTTATGTTGGGGTTCCGGGAATTTCTTATTTCTGTCTACACTTAGTATGTTTGCTTTGTTTCCGAGAAGAGTGATAAGCTTTTCGTGATCAACTAGGCTGTTTATTTACTCGTAACAGACGAGGCATAGTATTTGTGCAACTAGGATAGTGTCGGGAAGAATAGTATATAGTGTCAGAAGGCGGCATCAGCCACTAGTACGGAGTACAAGGTATCCAGTACTAGATCATAAAGGAATCACGGCGTAGGACAAATAATAGCTTCCTCATGGACAGTCGGATCAATGTGATACACTACCATGTGAAGCCCCGGATTTGGCTCCCGATGACAGCCTCGGTAGACGCAGATCTACGATCGGCTGCTCGCAACGGCTGCCATTTCGGTCTACGATCTACATGTCGTACAAAAAGTAATAACAGTATCACAAACGCATATAAAGACGAGTAGTTCCTACTTTCTATTCCAGACACATCAACTTCCACGCACCATGTCTGCCAAATTAATTCTTCCCACCCTCAGTCTCTTCACCCTCTATGCCATTTGGTACTACGCCGACGCCAATGGCCTTCTCGAACTTGCAAGACAAAGCATCGAGCGCAAAACACTCCCAGGCAGCGATGCACCTCTACGAACCGTCTACACCGGTCTCCCTCGACTGGACCACCTGCTCACCACCTTAACTACCTTTTTCTGGCCTACCACCGATGGAAGCCACCCCGCCTTGACACTCCACACGCTCGGGTTCGCAGGGACCTTCGGCTCCGCCTGGATTCTGATAAGCCTAGAATCATGGCGACAAGGCAATGCCTGGACACTGGCAGGATAGTACGTTCACCAACATGTACCCATGTGTATCAAGCTAACCTCATCACCAGTCCCTTGATATTCGGCCTCTCCGCCCAAACCCTAACATTCGCCTTCGCAGCACCTCTCTACTGCGCCCTGCAACTCACCACCTCCATAACCTCCACCTCTCCCACCGCAACCAACATCCACATCCCCAAAACCATCCTCACCACCCTCCCCCTAATCTTCACGGTCTCCTACATCATCCCCAGCGCCCTAATGGTGCTCCCTCTCTCCTCAACCATAACGACCGACCTAAAACAACTCTTCATCGCCCTCTGGCAACCGTTCCCAGCATACATCTCCATCCTCCTCACCCTTTCCCACACCCTATTCTCCCCGTTCACATCCACTCCCAAGCCCACCCAGAAGAACCACAATCTCTCCTCCCTTCGATTCATCTACGCCTTTGCCTTCTTCAACACCCTAATCCCCCACCTCGTCACCCTCACCGTCTCGCTATCTACTATCCTCGCACCTGCTATCCTCTCCCCAGAGTACAGGACTTCCCTACACCCCAGTATTGTCTTCGGGATTCCTACGCCCTGGACATCGCCTGTTATACAGGTGGCTAGTGTTGGAGACGGGGTGCATGCGTTCCTGAGGTGGGATTACTTGATTGGGTCGGCGGGAATGGTGGTTTGGGCGTGGAGGTTGTATGGTAATGCGGTGAGGATGGTGAAAGGTGGTGCAATAGGGTGGTGCGAGTGGGTGTCGTTGGTGGTGAGGGTCGGGTTGTTGGGGGTTGTTGCTGGGCCGGTGGGGGCGGTGGTGGTGTTGGTCTGGGGGAGGGATGAGATGGTTTTTGGGAAGGGGGAGAAGGGGGTGGAGAAGGCGAGGTAGAGGCAGAGTCATTGAAACTTGTGTAGCTGATCTATTCGTTGGTATCTGTTTGAGTACAGAGCCATATGCGGTTGTTGTCTGGACGTGGTCAGCTTGTGGCTTTAATACCGTACGAGATCGGTGATAATGACACCAGGGTAATTCAGGGTTATGTACTTGGAAAATCCATACCAGTGAGAGACTAGTATGCATGCGTGCAAATATAGAACCGGGATCCCCATGAGAGTACGAGTATACCTGTTGTAGAAAACGTGTTGGACCGTGTAGGGGTAGATAATTGGTGAAATGGTCAAAAGAGTCGGATGGCTACAGACAACGCACACAAGCGTTGGATATCTTTCACCTTCCAACCACAATGATTGGCATGGCTGCTTTCACTGCTCACTGGACTATTCAATTCCTGACTTTGTTATTCCAAATGAATGTGTTGTAGACATGTAATGCATGTGCACATAAGTGGATTATGGCAGCAATGCTTGACATTATACCAAAAGAGGGATAGTCTGCTACCCCGCTCCGATAGCAGCTTCTTCCCACCGCCTGCCATAATAAGATAACCGCTTATCGATAAGCGCAGGTACCGCAGCGGGTAAGCGATGGCCAACACAACAAATCCAAACTAGTTTCCAACTAGTTCCGCTGCTTTGCTTTGCTTTGCTACTCCTCTTTTCGCTCGTCGACACTTGCCCATTCCTTTGGAGTCTTCACCACTTACCTATCATTACCGTCCCTCCCTCGTCTTGAGTGAATGTTAGTCGACCCATCCATCCTTATCTTTCGGGATACGCAGCCACCCACCCATGGTGGTCTCCGCAAATCCCTCGACATTATTCCTTAGCGACAGTGTCCCATTTGAGAAAAGAGAAAACAGAAGATTTTGCTCCTTCAGCATACATCCATATTCCAATCGAACAGTATGCTTGGTGATGCCGAGATCCACGCTTTAGATAGCAATCTATCAAGCATTGTGCAGCAGAACCAGCAACACCATGCCGATGTACAGAACCTCCTGGATAAGTTCCGCCAGCTCTTAGACAACTACAACAACCTCAAGAGTGATTATGAGGAGGAGAAAGAGGCTAGAGAGAAGTACAAGCGGATGGCTAGGGGTCAGGTACGCAGAATGATCCGTCAGTATGTAATTGTTCAGCTCTGACGGTGACTTAGGAGCGGAATCCTTTCGTGCTGGTCCTCGTTGATGGAGATGGCTATCTCGTAGGTACATCTGGATCCTTAGGAGATATCATACTGATCAACTCCGCGGTAGTTCAAAGAGCATCTGCTAAAAGCCGGAGCCGATGGTGGCATTACGGCTGCCCGTATTCTTAACGATTCCATCCGCGAACTGCTCCATGATCGACTAGGCCATCAGGCTGACCAGTGCCGTGTGATGGTACGCATTTATGCAAACGTGCTTGGATTGTCAAAGTCATTGGCCCGCTCCGGGATTGTGGGACAGGAAGCCCGCTCTCTGTCGCCTTTTACAGCAAGCTTCACCCGGGCTGAGGATCTTTTTGATTTCGTGGATGCGGGAGATAAGAAAGAGGGAGCGGACTATAAGATTAGGGGTATGAGTAGCTCTATATTTTGGAAGGGCTCGAGCTAACGTCAGTAGAAATGTTCCGCTTATTTGCCGACAACAGCCAGTGCAGACACATCTTCTTCGCTGGTTGTCACGACTCCGGGTATTCTAATCTACTGACACCTTATCGTGGCCGGACTGATCGCATCACCCTCCTCAAAGCTGCCAACTTTCACAGCGAATATGAAAGATTGGGCCTCCCGGTGCGAGAGCTTCCCGCCCTCTTCATGTCTACACCTATTGGTGGAACTGGGAGTCCCTCCAACCATACGCCTTCGATGTCCACAACCTCTAGACCGATTTGCAAACATTTCCAAAAGGTGCGTGGAAATGCATTGCCATACTTTGCATTTCAACTAATGTTCTTCAGGGCATTTGCCGATACGGCAGCTCTTGCAACAAGGCCCACATACCGCAGGGTCAACAACTCTCTAGATCCGACAATACCCCCTCTCCTCCAGGAAGGGAATCTCCTACGAGTGCTCGCACTCAAGAGTTTTATGCCTCACAACTTGTCACCCACCTCGATCCTAAGTGGCAAGATTATATCCCGATAAACTTGGCCGGAGATCGCATTGACACCTACTGTCCGATCCCCGGCCACGACGCATGGGAACTCTATACCCGTCGCGCCAAAATCCATAAGCCATGCAATAATTTCCATCTTGGCGGCGAGTGCAGCAATATTGGCTGTGAATACGACCACGGCCGTCTTGATCCAAGCTCGCTGGACGTTATGAAATACATACTCCGTCAGCACCCATGTCAGACGGGCCCTTCATGCCGATCCACTAAGTGCTTCCTCGGCCATCTCTGCCAGAAGGACGGATGCCGAGGCCTCAAGCCGTGCCGCTTTAATCGTCACGCACACACACTTGATTTGCATATTGCAAAATACACGCCGTCCATCAAAAGGGACACTGGTCACTCGCGTGCTCCAAGCGCCGAGGGGGCATTTGTCCCAGATACTCCCGAAGAGCCGCAGGGCCTCATTGTATTGTGAACGTCCAGTAGGACTATATTCAAGGCCAACACATACTATTATGTTGTCTTATATTAAGGCAGACCGACTTGTTGGTAGGGTAGGGCCTTAAAAATTGGTTATCAATTGTTAGAGAAGAGGATGAAATAGGAAGAGGCCACTTCGGAAGGGAGGAAGGAAGCAAGCAAATGGTTTGGATTCTGAAAACACGATACAGGTTAAGGCTATCACTTAACCAGGCGCAAAGCGCGCAATAGTTATTGACGGGGATGACTGAATCTATATGAAAGTATTTCCGCCTCTTTCGTAACACACATCTCATCTAGGACATACCTGTGACCGGATAATTCCATTCAATGCTGGTGAGAACCATCCAAGTCTCGGTTCATTCCTCTCCATGAGGCGAGCCGCCAGCAGATCGGTAGATAGCGACAGCAAAATGAGGGAACAACCGATGCCAGGATGGCAACTGCGATCCACCAAAGGTAGCAAAAAGTAGTATATAAACCTCAATGACAGGTACATCCACTGCTGTCCTCTCCACCATCAGTCACGACAACATCCTTCCAATTGATCTATCTGTTCTCAATCACACCAGAATTACAGTAACTCTAAACCAAATAAAAAAGATAAGAAAGATTAAAAAAAAAAAAATCAATTCCAAGCTCAGCAATCATGAGTCATCAGGGGAATCCTGTTAACCCTCACTGCATTTTCTGCAACCAGGGACACCCTGAGCCCACCGGGGATGCTATCTACGAGCACATCGAACAGCACCTCGATGACCTGAACAGACGTTTCAGGGAGAAAAGAGCCGACAACGAGGAAAATTCTACGATCATTGACTGCCAACACTGGCCTGGTTGCCGTCACAGGCCTCTGACCTCAGTAGAGGGGGATGCCCATGCTTTTCATTGGGTATTCGTTGAGATGGCACGTTTGAAGAGGCAGGATCCCGATGAAGAATATATCTCTTGCGATTTATGCGGCAGCCGTCATCCCACCTTGGCTAGAGAAGATCTGGAGAATCACATCCGCGACTTCCATAACTTATTGTTCAATAATCCCATGGTGGCGCACCCTTCGCCATCTGAATTGTCTGAACTTCCACCGGCGGCGATGACTGGCTCCGAAGCCATGGAGCTTGACGCGGCAGAGGAGGATCAGGATGGCGACTTTGAAACTGATGATGATGAATTGCCTGAACTTCCACCGGCGGCGATGACTGGCTCCGAAGCCATGGAGCTTGACGCGGCAGAGGAGGATCAGGATGGTGACTTTGAAACTGATGATGATGAAACGGAGGAGGTTAGAGCCCAGGGGTCCAGAGAGGAGGCCGCCGCCGAAGCCCAGTACGACTCTGAAGAGGAAGAACCCAAAGACCTACCTCATGACCTCAGACCAGTCATCAGGAGTCTTGAGCAAGCCCTTTCGGATAACATCATGACTATCGAAAACTTCCTTCAGGTTATATGCAATATATGCCGTGATCATCGCTTTCCCATCGAGCACCTTCCCCAGCTTGAGATCCATAATGCTCTCCGAGCTAGACTTGCTCCGCTTGTGCATGGATTGGTGCACATACCTGGGGTCTCCTGGAACTTTCGAGTGGACCCCCGGAATGTCGAGGAGAGATTCGGTCGGACCACCATTGGCAAAGCCCTTCTTGCAAAGAAGGTCAGGCCGATCCGGGTTCTCTGTGATCTGGGGTTTAACATTAACGATATTATGGAGAGCAACATAACCGTGCTGGGTGCGGCCATCCTACTCCGGCACAACAAACTCGCCCAATACCTCCTGAACCCTGAATTCAAGGAAAAGTACGGCGTCGACCCTTTCGCTCGCGTGACTACGGACACTAGATATGGCAACGGCTTCACTCCGACTGCTCTATGCGTGTGGAGACACGAGCACAACACCCTAGAGACCATCCTCAGCTACGAGACGCCCCCTCACGTCATGCGAACCGAGGAGGTAAACATGCTCTTCCGCTCGCAGACCTTGGGAAACATCAGGCAAGTACTGCGCGACCCATACTTCAGAGAGGCCATATTTGCCCCACGCAACCCTCCCATCTCCCCGGTCCACTCCGCCGTTGCCAATAATCATATCGAAGTTCTGCAACTCCTCGTCCGGACCGGGAGGCGTCGCTCGCGCCTAGTTCCTAGGAATCTAGCCTCTTACATCAACTCCGAGAGCAGCACACCAGTCCAGTACGCAACCCCTCTCCTTGTCGCCATGCACCTTCGCAATGACCGAGCCGTGAATGAACTCCTCGCATGTCCCCACATCGACCTCTCAAAGCAAACCTCCCGCATGGTCACTCCCCTATATTACGCTGCCCGCATACTCAATATCAACCTAGTTCAATACCTGATGAACAACGGTGTTGATCCGAAACAGCCTACAGGTCTAGGCACGCCTATTCATGCACTGGTGCATATTTATAAGAATGCCAAGGAAGCGGAGGAGGATTTGCGAGATCCCCGGGGGTTCGAGGCCATCAAACAGCGGATTTACGAGCTTCTGCATCTGTTCTTGGATAGAGGCGTCGACCCAAATGTTAGGGCTACGGCTGGTACACAGGGACCCAGGACGGCTATCGAGGAGGCTGAGAGCGTGGGGTTTTGGGAGTTTTTGGAAGTGATTATGGCTCGTAGCACTGCTGCTGATGCTGCTGCTGCTGCTGCCGCCGGCGCCGCGTCGTGAGATGGGCACGATGGTACTGTGATACTGTGGTACTTTGCTTAGGTACTCTTGCTTTGAAATCGTAAAAGCTAAAATCAATAAACACACATTGCTTGCTCATGCTTCTTTTGATACATATCAAACCGTAGTCAGTTAATCCGGCTTCATTAACTATGTCTTTGAGTCAGCACCGTCCCTATTGTCTAGGTTTGTAGACCGACGAGGTAGTTAGTGGGAATATTTTAGATTATTCATTGGAGAGGTAGTTTAGATCTCCCTTTTTGCCATGCATCTCATCTTGCCGATAATGAATGATGTCGTTCGCTAAGGCATAGTTCACCTGGCCTCAGATATTGGTGGTCTGGCATTCATTACCTGAGGTCTTGGGATAGGTTTATCTAGAGGTGCGAAAAATCCTATTCTTATTACTAAATAGTACTTGGATAGATTTTTAAGATGGCAATAACACTATCCTCAACACCGAATACATTGAAAAGAGACATTTTCCTATTTAACTCCAACTACGAAAGAAAAAAAAGAGAAAAAAAGAAAAGAAAAAAAGAAAAAAGAAACTCCAGGCTGATGCGACGCTACCGTATACTGCATGCAAACCACACCATAATACACAAACAAGTCCTTCCTTCCCAGATATCCAGAACTAACATCAATCCTGATTCTCCTCCACCGCCCTTTCAATATCCCCAATCTTCCGCCTTCCAAGGCGCAACTTACTCCGCAGGTTCTTCTCCTTGATCAGCAGAGCGCGCTTCCGTCTCCTCGGCGGGTAATTGATCGGGCTTTCGCCACCAGTGAACACCACTAAGTCGTATATGAACGCGCCGAATAATCCTCCAAAGATGTCGGCGACCCAGGGGCCCCAGATCCACCAGGCGTGGTATTCTTTGAAGAGGTGGCCGCCCCAGCCGGCCATTACGGCGACGAGGCGGGGGCCGAAGTCGCGGGGACCGTTGAATGCTCTGGGTGTTTGTTAGTTGGATTGTTGTAGGGTGGGGTGATGAAGGGTGTACGTACCCGCCTGTGTTGTAGCCCAATGCTAGGACTAGAACGGTGATGATGATGCCGATGATGAATGCCTGCATACCTGCTCCGGGGGGAGCGTTGGTGTCGTCTCCCAAGGCCATGATGGTTCCGACGAGGATGGCGGTGCCTAGGAACTCGTTGAAAAATGCGGTAGCTGGGCTAACGAATTGTTTCGGTAGGGTGAGAAATGCTTGGCTGGCTGTTGTTTCGCTTTGTGGTAGATTACTCTCGACGGAGAGGTTGACGATGGCATCGTGGTAAATGGCGTAGGCGATTCCGCCGGCGGTGATGGCGCCGATCAGCTGAGCAAGGATGTAGATTACGCATCGGCGGGCGGGAAATCCTCGCCAGAGAGACATGGAGATTGTGATGGCTGGATTGAGATGGCCACCGGAGATGCCACCGACGATGTAGATGCCGATCATGAAGCTGAAGCCCCAGCATGCGGCTTGGCTCATCCATGAGCCGGCTTGTTGGTCCGATGTGTAGGTTGCTAGCCCGCCGCAAAGACCGAGGGTGATCGCTAAGGTTGTCTAGTGATTGTGTCAATTGCTGGATTAAGAGAGATAGTCTAGGTGAGTACTCACCCCCAACCACTCGCCCAATGGTTCCCTCAGATGATACCGGATTTTGGACCATTTGTTAAAGAATCCCATCTCGTTCTGGGGCTCCTCACCATTCTGTCTAGCTTCATCCGTCTGCGGGATATCCGTAGGCGGCTCTTCTGCCGCTGGAGGCGGGCGTTCTCGTCCTCCTTCTTCTCTTTCTTCCTTTCGATCCTCTGGCAAGGCTCCATACCGCATTCCGTCTCGGACAACATGGGGCAGCGGCTGCGCTAAACTCCAGACAGGCTTGTCTCCTTGTGTGTTGCCATACTGAGGATTGTAAGACTGATAATCCGGATGCATGTAAGCGCCCTGGTGAGGGAGTGGTCCGTAATAAGCATTCGGACCTGCCAAGGAGAATTGTGCCTGACTCCCGTAGCTCTGGTTTCTCATCGTAGCGGGAGGCTGACTCCGATAGCTCTGGTTTTGGGATACGCCAGTGCGGTGACTGGCATGACTTTTCTTTCGCGAGAAATTGGTACGCTCGGTTCCTTGGCTTTTGTTTCGAGAGACGCCCTTTCTGGGCTCCCTTTGGGGAGACTCTTCATCTTGGTCTGTTTTGGAGGATTCCCCCTCCGTTGAGTCGGAAGATCGATAGTCTTTCGACTCGGTGTCGACCTCTACGAGCTGTTAGCGGGATAGTTTGTCTGAATCATTTTACACTTACGATCGAGTTCCTTGTTGAGAGACCTGACTGGGTGCACCATGGCAGTAAGGGAAGCAGTCGGAGAATTGTACAATTGCAGTTTATCAGCCTGCTGTAGAAGAGAAGAACTATCTTATACTTAGGGGGTCTGGTTGGGGATATATTGTACGGTGCGCCAAGATTGCGTCACAGAAGCAGACCAGGGAACAGCCGACTGCAACCATTGGTGGCTTCACACCCAAACCCTCGAATTTTCCACGCCACACCTAAGTACAGATTTTGTACGTTTCATCCAGAGTTCCAGCTGATAGATCTAGCCGGGTTCCGTAGAGTAGGTGAGAATTATCCTACCAAGACTGATACCAGCACAGGTCAGCCGCGTTGAGACGATCATCAAGAGACCGCCTTGTTACTGAGACGCCAGAACCGGGATGATTGCCATCCAGTCAACCCCCATGCCATGGCAGAGAATAGAGTAACTTGTTGCCCGCCCCACAAACTTGCGTGAAATTTGAGCAGTTGGTGTCCTGCCAGAGGCATTAAGAGGAGGCAGGTCCTCACGGACAAAGCGGCCCTCCTCCGCTGCTAATTGGCGGGTTGCATGACCTCACGCTGTGCGACCTGGGTGGGCGGAAACGGATCTCTTCCAGTCACCGATGGCGGCGTTTGATCGGCGGCTTCGGGCCCACCCGTGACATGCTGGCCAACAGCCTTTGTTCTACACAGTAGATAGATTATGACCAACTCAAACTCTGATAAGCTGGGTTCGAGGCCGACACTTCCAGGGGAAGTATGGTGAGACCATGTGCCAAGAGGAGGCTATGGCCGTGGTTCAGCTAGGTCGGCATGGAAAGTTGTGCCTGCAGACGTCATTGGGTTGATGCAGGTGCCTTAAGCTATGGTCTGTCTCTTCATAGTCCCCCTCTATCAGAGGAGTGAGAAGTGAAGTCATTATGGGAGATGCAGAGTTAGATGCAGAATAAGATGCAGAACAAAGTTGACGACAGGAAGAGAACGAGCGGAATTGCCTGATCCGGCAAGTGACACACATGACGTCATCACGTGGTCCTGCCTGATCGAGACTCTGCACGTGATTTGAAGATACACTCTCTTAGCTACCGTCAATAATTTCATTTTGAAGTCATCAATTCATGCCATTGGAACCGCTATTTCCTCTAACAGTTCGGGAATGATATAAATTCAATCTCGGCTACAATGCCGTCGCAGCCCAGCTTACATTATGCGGCACCCACGCCTGTGATCCGCTTGAATTGACTTTCCGTATACCTCCAGACAATCTCTCCAATACCCATCTCTCGGAAGCCTTTCAGAACATTAATCGCATCATTCGAGCTCTCGCCATTCGAAGTAACAGAATAAACACCCCCTCCCACCTCCCCATCGACGCCCCGCGCAACCATGACCCCCTCCGACAGCGACACCCCGTCGTCCCCATCTCGCGCCGGATACCTCGCACTTGTAGCCACAAAGAGATGTCTCTCTCCGCTCTCCTTGGCAGGAATACAGATCCAACGGCCGAAAAGCAGGAGAGCAAGCCACACAATCCACATACGGAGATTATCCACCTCTCTGGTTATCCCGGTCTGGACAGCCCCAGGGTGAGTATTAATGAACGACACAGTCGGGGCCTTTTCAGCTAGTTCTTCCAAAGCCACTGTGGTCAGTGAAGTAATATGCCCGCGGAATAATGGGGCTGACAGCTTTCTGCCCTCGAAGTCGGTGGTGTCGATGGGACCTTCAGATCCGGCTGCCCCTACGGTTATGACGCGGCGGAGGCTGGTGGCTTGCTGGAGGAGAGGGAGGAGGTTCACAATAAAACGCATGCGGGCGAAGTAAAGGAGGGATGTGATCTTGCGGAGTCCTTCGGGTGTTTCTGCAGTATAGAAATCAGTCGTTCGTTCTGTAAGACTACGTAGTTCTTGTCATGGTGCGGCAAGAGATATATATATCCGCGTCGGCGATTACCCACCGTTGTGTATAGTCGCTACACCAGGTGTGAGAACGAGGAGATTCAGAGCTCTCTCCTTGTCCTTGATGTCACGACAAACCTCATCGACATTGCTGAGCAAGCTAACATCTGCAGATATGAAGATATAAGTCCCCTCGGGGTTCAGGGTTTCGCATTCGGCGATGATGCGGTTGGCTGCTTCTTGTTTGCGACCGACAAAATAGACACGGGGCCGTGCAGCATGCTTAGCAAACTGCTTGAGGGTTGCTTCGCCAATTCCACTTGTTGCACCGACAAAGAGAGCTACCATGCCCTCAGGAAGGGAGGTAGCAATCCGGGCATTGGAGGATTGGATATTGGCGAGGACTACCATTTTGTGGATGATACAGTGAATAGACAGGGTTTAGAATATAGGGGTGGTGATTACACTAAGACTAAGAAAAAAAATTATTGTTTATATACTTGTAAACAATCAATACCATTGTCAGTTTCTTTGCAACTTCATCCAATCAACATTGGTAATCCGAACAGGATGCTTATGCGATTGACGCTCGGGTTCATCCGTATCCGGCACGGATCACACTTTCCGGGGACCCGGTTGGGCGAGTCGACCCCGGATCATGGAGGTTCTAGATACGAGCTTCAGCACGGACGTTACCCTATCTCATTTGCTTGAAGGGAGAAGATATGGATAGGGTTGCATGGTAGCCTCGTGTTCTCTAGTGATATGCATCCCTGTGCCACAATCCAATCTTGGTGG